ATGTTAGGAATTTGGTGTTGATTGGATTTTTGGGGATTAGGTGAAGTATGAGTAGTAGGATGCTGAGGGTGGGATTGAGAATTTTGAGGTGTATAATGTTGTTTGTGGCAGGGTCTCACAATTAATGATTTCGTTCTTAAAGACACCGTTGGGTCTATTATGTTTGAAGGTCCTCTTCTTGATCCGGTAGGTTCTCTTCTTGATATTTCTGCTTCTTCTTGGGTCCGGGATTTCTGATATCTTGACTTGATATTCTTATATATCTGATAGCTTTTGTAGTCCGCTGGATGTCCTTCAAGGCACAAAGCACAAAGCACAAACTGCAGGATCTCATTTCGGTTTGTACACTCACCGGATTTGTGCTGTTCTCTACATTTCAAACAATGTGGCAAATGATGGCAGTAAGTCTTGGTGTGGCCATATGCCTGGCAATTATGGCACTGGATGATTTCTCTCTTAGGATATGTCTTCTCTACTATCACAATTGTATAGTACATTCTTCTTATTTTGTATATTTTTTCGATTCCTTGAGTTGGCTCCAAATCTATGAGGGACTTTTACTCCTGGCTGTTCTTTACTCTCTTTCACAACATTTGTAATCTGGTGCACTATGAAACCTAAATTTTTCAGTTCTTCTTCTATTGCCTCCGTTGGTGTTGAGTTGTGTAGATTTCTTTTAACTATTCTTAAAGCTCACTTTTGCTGTAATTGATACATATGAAAATCCGGTTTGTTTTCTGTTAGATTTTTCGCAATATTTCTATAGGTTTCAACTGTATGGAGATATTTTAGTGTTCTTTGTTCTTCTTAGACATGAGTAGCTTCCAGAGCCTGTTAATTTGTTCAGTTGAGAGCATAGTAACTGAAATTTTTTTATGATTTTAACGAATATCGGTAGAGGTTGGGGATCTCTTGGTTTAGGTGCGGACTCCATCACCTTTCTATCATTCTGAAGCACCTAATAGGGGTTGGGGGTAAAAACTGGAGATTCTTCAGTTGTCTCTTGTGAAGATGTACCTGTTTGATGCTGAGGTTCTTCAATTGTTTCTTTTGATGATGTACCTGGCTGGGTTTCATTATCTCCTGAGCTGACAGGGGTCACTGGAGGTGTTTGATGAGGCTTTTTTTTGACAGGTGAAGAACGAGGTGTCGAGCTTAACGTCTGAATTCTCTTAATAGAAGCTCTACTAGACATGACCTGATGGTGATATCACATAAAAGAAAAAGAGAAAAATAATAATAATTTATAACTGCAAACAGTAATATCAATTGTTCTTGTGTACCCTTGACCTGTTTTAAATGAATAATCTCAAAAATTATGCTGATAAACAAGCAAATTCTGAGAGCCAATGTAGAGGTACTTTATTTATTTTTAAAATAATTAAACGAGCTGATCCGAAAGATTGTACTTCTACCTTGGCTCTCAGAATTTGCTTGTTTATCAGCATAATTTTTGAGATTATTCATTTAAAACAGGTCAAGGGTACATAAGAACAATTGATATTACTCTTTGCAGTTATAAATTATTATTATTTTTCTCTTTTTCTTTTATGCGATATCACCATCAGGTCATGTCTAGTAGAGCTTCTATTAAGAGAATTCAGACGTTAAGCTCGACACCTTGTTCTTCACCTGTCAAAAAAAAGCCTCATCAAACACCTCCAGTGACTCTTGTCTCAGGAGAAAATGAATGTCAGCTCGGGAGAAAATGAAACCTTCAGGGTTGATGAACTTGATTTTTTCATGTTTTCATCTAAAAATATTTCTGCCACTTGTAAAAAAAGTTGTATTTGTATATAATACATGGAATTTTATAATCTTTTTACCTTTAATAATCAAAATGTGATTGGGTAAGAAAGATTAGAGAAAAAAAAATTGAAAAACGAACCATTATTATTCTAAAAGAAATTAATTACATCATCGTTTAGTAGCCTGTGTTTCCTCCTCTTGCCTTCTCTACTTATTGAAGACGCCTCGTCATACTTTCCACCAGTCGGAAAATGTCCCTTTGCTGGAAGATAGCCCATTCCTCCCGAAGAGCCCTTTCAAGGTCCTGCAGTGTATCAGGAAGTGTTGCACGCGCTCTTATTTGTCTTCCGAGGTTATCCCATAAATGCTCAATGGGGTTCAAATCTGGAGAACGTGCTGGCCAGGCTAAAACCTCAATATTGTCCTGTTGAAGGAACGTCTGAACTATGCGGGCGACATGTGGGCGTGCATTAGAATAGAATGATCACCGATTTCGTTGAGGATAGGCAACACATGAGGTTCCAAAATCTCATCTACATAGCGAATGGCCATCAAAGGCCCTCCACGAACAACAACCAATTCTGTGCGGCTCTCCATTGAAATCCCAGCCCACACCATTAAGGAACCACGTTGGAAAGGTTGGCTCTGGGAAAAATTACAGGCTGCATATCTTTCGTTCCTTCTTCTCCACACCCTTTCACGCCCGTCTGGAGATCGAAGAGCGAATCTTGACTCATCTGTAAAAAGAATAGCATTCTATTCGTCCATAGTCCTGTGTTCTCAAGCAAAAGCCAGCTGTGTTACTCTGTGAGTTCTGGTCAACTCTGGTCCTCTTACTGGACGAAAAGCCATTAATCCATTCTCATTTAATCTTCTCCGAGCGGTACGTTCAGAAATTTGCACACCTGGAACTTCTTCGAGCTGATGAATTGCTTGAACAACGATAAGGTGCCGGTTTCGTAAAATTCTCAAAGTCAAAAACCGGTCATCCCATGGTTCTGTTACCCTAGGCCGTCCAGAACCGGGCCTTCTATTGTAAGTACCAGTTTCCCGAAAACACCTGACGGCGTCTCGTAAAGTTTCATATGGAACTCCGATGGCATTAGCTGCATATCTAATGGAACGTCCATCATCAAGAAGCGCCACACCACGCTCAACATCCTCAGCACTAAGAGGCATTCTTAAACTTAATATTGAAAAAATTAAAAGCCGGAGACTAAGAAATGTGCTGCAAGAAACGGCACTGACCTAATGATATTGAATAAACATTTTGATTCCATATAAAGTAAACATTGGAATCTAGAATCATTTTATTGAATTAAGGATTACGGGTTATTGTCCTCTATATTAACATTCCTAATTGAAAACAAACAAAAAGATTACCTATTTGTTCATTAAAAATAATAGACCAATCCAAAGCAGAAATATTTTTAGATGAAAACATGAAAAAATCAAGTGAGTGGAATTTTTTGCCTGTCGGTGTATAATGTATATAACTGGTTTGTGATGAAAATGTGTATATAACTCCCCAATCTCTGCGTGTCCGCACAAACACTTACCAATTGAACTGATCACTGAAACCTATTATATCACTGATTTTCATTATATCACAATACATTATACTGTTTGGTAGTGAACCATAAAATAGTTTATATGATCACTTTTATTGAAATAGACAATTATTCAAATTAATTGTAACCTTTCTATTGGGCTTAAGACTTTTTGAAAGCTGAGATGCTAACATATCCCAATTACTTATTTAGGGAAATACTGACCCTAACAATATAAAGGTAAGCAACCTCCTCATTCTCATTTCCTGACAATCTGCTTGTTTTGTTTAATTTTAAGAACTGCATTCGCTTATATAGTATTAGATATTTGATTTGATAATTCATCCAATTGTATCTTCTGATTTGTAATCATTTTAATATTTATTTATTAAGAATTCAAAGTATTTTTGGACCAATATTATGATTAAAACTCAAACAGGGACGGCTTGCTGATCAAGACCACTTAAAAGATATGATGGTATTTCACCAATATTAGAAGATTTGTTGCCGATTCACTGAGGTACTTACTACTCCTCTTCAATATTTTTTTGGAAATCAGTATTCAAAGTATTTTTGGATCAATAATATGATTAACACTCAAACAGGAATGGCTTGCTGATCAACACCATTTAGAACTTGGGCTTAAGAAGATCTGATCACCAATATTAGAAGATTTGTTGCTAATTCACTGAGGTACTTACTACTCTTCTTCAATATATATATATATATTTTTTAAATCATTATTCAAAGTATTTTTGGATCAATTTTATGAGTGATACTCAAACAGGGACAGCTTGCTGATCTATACTATTCAGAACTTAGACCTAAGAAGAATTGATCACCAATATTAGAAGATTTGTTGCCGATTCACTGAGGTACATGCTACTCTTCTGTATTTTTTTGCAAATCAGTATACATTCATCCACTCTCAGATCAATCATCATCCAGACTTATTTACCTTTGATATTTACTTCCCTGAATCTGCTTCAACATTCTATTTGTCTGGCTGATATTCCTTTTACTGGGGAAGAATATCATTTATAGAGAATCTTTGTATCTTTAATTGTATTTGTAACAATTCTGTAATGAACAATCCTAATCATTGCTGCTCTCTATTAAATACTTGCTAAATTAAATTGTAGAAAATCAATTGAGGAATATTGAACTAAACAATCTCAAACTCGGTATGTTCCTTATTAAAACCATAAATTATGATCATACCCCATGGCTTGATGGGGCATGATCAATCTTTTTGATTCTTAATCAGCTAAGTGTAAAGCATTGTATCTGAAAATAATATTGCATTCAAAATGTCCCTCCCCAAAAAATAAAATAAATAAAAAAACTAGAGCCAACTTTAGACTATTAACACAGCATAGTTATCTGCACCTATTAAATAGATTAAACATCTATGACATATCTGCAATATGTGCACATATATGCAATATCTGCTGTTTAATATGAAGTCTACTTATATACATGTGACAACTTATACAAATTTCCAGCTTTGGTTTACTTTATAAACAATTTTACATTATTGAATAAGTCATTTTGGCTAAGAATCTATATTGTATTTATAAAACTTTTGCTATCAAAAGTTGAATGGCAGACGAGTCTCCATGATCAGTGTAAGGAAAAATCACTCAACAAATTCGGTATCCATAACTGGTAATAGGGAAAATCTTATAAACACTTCATTGTTTAGTCTAAAACTGAATTGGCTTCTATAGAAGAGTTCAGTTTGGCCTGTTCAAAACTGTATGTTGTTTCCATAAAATGTTCACCGATTTGATTACTGATTTTTCTTTTGGCACTAACCTCACTTGGTCTAACTGAAAAGTCCATGTTGTCTTCTTTGAGGATACAAGAACTTTCATTATAACTGGACTAAATCAACACTTTCCTGTGTATAGAGCTGTATTCAAAACTTTCTTGACAATCTGCACATTATCTGTCTCTCCATTGTCTCTCCATGTTCAAAGAAGCATCAGTATGCAATTGTCTGTCAATTTCCTTTGACTGTTTCTTGCATGTTGTGATTATTTGTAGCATCCTCCAACCTCCAGGTTTGATCCACATTACGGTGTGTCCTAGTTCAGTTTTGAGAATTCTTGTATCCAACATGTTGCCAATCCATTTGGTAACAAGTGGATCTATTTTTCTTGTCCTTAAACTATCCATGATAGTTTTATAAGGAGTCCTATCGAAGACACCTTCTATATCTACAAAGGTACCAATCATTATTTCCTTCTGATTCATGGATTTTTCAATCCTCGAAACCAGATTATGTATTCCAGCTTTGCATGATTTCCCAGGTTGGTATGCGAATTGATTGAAATGTAAGGAATTAGAATTCACTAATTGTTCTGTTATATGCCTGTCCAAAATCTTTAGACACTGGAGTGTCTTCATTAGAAAAGATGACATGCATATTGCCTAAATGACTTAGAATCATCATATGATCCCTTTCAAAGTTTTGGAATAAAACACAGTTTGGATCCTCTCCATTCTGTAGGAAGGTAACCAAAAGCTATACTGCCCCATAATAACTCTAAGAGATAGGATTTAATGATTGAAAGTCCTTTTTGAATCAGTATTGGTAGGATAACATCCAAACCTGCCGATTTGTAGGGAGACAATGTGTTTACTTCCCATTCCAGTCTATTTACAGTAACAATGTTTCTTGCCTTGATCCACACTTCTCGATTATCTGTATAGCTAGGAAGTGTAGTGTCTCTACAAGTCTTTTCCATTGTCTTACTCCCAGGAAAGTGTGCTATTGCCAGTTCTCTCAGGATTTCAAGCTCATTACTAGTATGTTTGCCATTTACCCTGAGTGTGCCCTGTATACCTTGGTCTTTCTGTTTAGTAAGTATTTTTTTTATCCTACTTGCCATAGGAGTGTTGCCAATTTCTAGGCTGAAGTTCCTCCAAGACTGTCTTTTAGCTTTCCTCACAGATTTGTCATATTCTGTGAGGGTGGTCCTGTAAACCTTCCAGTTGCCATATCTTTTTGCGGCATTGAACAACCTTCTAGTGAGTGTTCTTTGCCTCTCTTAGTCCTTGTTCCACCAGGATACCCTTATTTTGGTTGCCTTGGTTTGGATATCATTACTACTCAGATAAGAGTTTCTAATAGCATCTGTTAAAGATGAATTGAGGCATTATAGCTGCCAAGTATTATTTATGTTTTTGGACAACATTTACATGCCTCTTCTAGGTATGACAGGTACTCTTTCCAGTCTGTAGACTTTGGGTATTTATACTTCTCGAGAATTTTAGTGTTATCAGACCAGTCAAATCTGATATATTTATGGTCTGAGCATGTTTCCTCATCTGATACATGCCAGTTATCTACTTTTGACATGACCTGACTAGAGGCCATCGTTATGTCTATGACCTCTGATCTTAGTTTGTTAGAGAAGGTAGATTTGAGTATTGATTATTTATAAGTTATTACTAATAATAAAGTCTAGCAACATTTCACCTCTGGGGTTGTTGTTGTGCTGCTCCATATGATATTGTGGGCATTGGCATCAAGTCCCATCAGGGTGTCTTCTTTGATGGAATTTATAATCTTATCCAAGTCTTGGGCAGGATCTCCCGACTCATATGGCAGGTAACTCGCCACTATGGTTAGTGTCCTCTTGTCTTTTGGTGAAGTAAATTTGGCTGCTGCCTAATCTTTAGAATTAAGTTGCCAAAGATGCAGTAATTATAGTGATTTTTTATAGAGAATACAGGCCCTGGGATTGGTGCAACAGAAATAGTTCCATAGCCATTAATTTCCAATCTCCTGATCCTGTTATTGCTTAAGTAAGTTTCTTGGATTAATATAATATCAATGTCCTCTCCAGTTGATTCCCTCTTCCTGGTTGAAAACCTCTTGCTACGAGTCGGCTTTTCTCGTGCTATCCTCCTTCATACTAAAAATCCATTTTGTATTGACTGCGACTTCTCCATCAGGTAAATCTTGTGGTGTCCAAGTTTTGGGTTCTTCATGAGCTTTTAATTCTTTTTCAATAGCTTCAGTCGAATCTTGAAATTGTTTAGCTTCCTTAAATGTTGTAGGAAGAGTACCTTCAGCTGAGAGCATAGCGTATGCTTCATATAACTCGTAGTCTTTAAGATGTTGAGGTAATTTTATTGTTCTTTTTCCCTTATTTGAACTTGTTCTTTTTCATTCTGATTTTCTACAATTTCTTCTTCCAAATTTTCTCTTGATTTTTCATTTTCTTGAGTTTCCCCTTTAGAATCTTGATGTTAATATCTTCCTGGTACGTCACTGTCTACTTCCTTATTTCTCATATTTTTAAATTCCATTACATCCTTGTCGAATACAACATCACGTGACTTTACAACTTTTCTTTCATGTATAACATAAAGTCGGTAACCACCACCACTGAATCCTACCATGACTACTCTATGTGCCCTTGGATCAAGTTTACTTTTCCTTGGTAATACAGAATACCATGCACGGCTTCCAAAAATTCTTAGTTTTGATAAATCGTTTCGCCCGTTCTAAATTAATGAAGGTGTTTTATCATTATCAATTGTACTTAAAGGTGGCCTGTTTAATTCATAGGTAGAACATTTTATGGCTTCTCCCCAGAGAGATTTCAGTATTCTGGAATCGACAACTTTTGTTCGCACCATGTTAAATAATGTTCGATTCATTCGTTCAGCTTTACCATTACTTTGACTACTATAAGGCATAGTATATTCTAATTTAATTCCCTTTTGTCTACACAAATTTTTAAAATGGTTTGAATTTCACTCACCACCATTGTCTAGTCTTAAACATTTTATTCTTATATTATGTTATCTTTCTGTCTCTGCATTATAATCCTTTAAATTATTTTCTGCTTCACTCTTATTTTTTAATAATTTTGCAACTACAAAGTGAGAATAGCCATTTAAAAATACCTGTATATATTTGTGACCTTTAGATGTAGGTGGGGTAATTGGTCCACAAAAGTCAGAATGCACCAGATCTCCAATTTGTCGAGAATTCCTCTCTTGTCGATAGAACGGTTGTCTTGGAGCCTTCGCCTCTACACAACTAGGACATACTTCATTATTAAATGAAAGTTGTAATGCTTTTAAACCACCTCTGTTTAAATGTCCCAGCCTTTGATGCCATACATTTTTATCTTTTGTATTTTGTTTTGTAGAATTGTGCCCTGTTGTACTACACGGAAATCCTTTCTCATTAATTTTGGTTGTATCAAATTTTAACATATACAAACCATGAGTAAATTCACTATGTAATTTAAAAATTTTCACACATAATATCGTTTTAGAAGAATCAATAATTACTGTGATGCCCATTTTACCAATAGAAAGTAAATTGTATTTTAATGCTGTACCCTTGGCAAGCTATTCCCATGCTACCTTTTTGTTTACATATCATTTTATCACCATCAGCTAAGTGAATTGTCACTTCTCGCTCAAGGTTTTTAATGTCATGCATAAATGTTATCAGCTCTTCCTTTAAAAAGTGATTGCTTGCACCTGAGTCTATTAAAAATTGGTTGTTAGTAAAAAAAAAAATTCTTCTTTGCAGTTGAGTTCCACTAATGAAAATTCATTTTTAATTGAATAACCTTTACTATGTGTATAATTTGATTTACCTCTGTAACCTTGGCTTCTATTAGACTGACCTCTGTAGGATCGTCCTCCTCTGTTTCTATAATTATTTGCACCTATGAGTTTGGGACAGTTAATTTTGAAGTGAGTTTTGTCACCACACTGATAGCACCCTCCGTCCTGGTTAGCTTTGATGGAAGTTTCATCTGGCAATGAATGTGCATTACCTTTAATTTTTAACTCTTCGTCCAGTAGTCTCGCCTTAACAAAATCCATTTTTACATTTTTAATTGACTTTAATGATGGTCACTCCTTCACTCATATTTGAAAATGAGTTACAATCAATAAAGAAACAAACAAAGAAACAAACTGCAACTTTTAGTGATCAGTTGTAGTTAAGAAGATCCCATCCTCATTGCCATTTGTAATGTCTTTAAAACATAAAACCGAACGAAAAACACTATGTTTAACTCAAAGGTTTATTACTCACAAATAGTATTACACAAAAGATAAATAACCAAAGCAGATCTCTTCACATGTGTGTATCAGTCCCTGTCGGTAGGTAATCTCATTGTTTCCTTACACTCTGATTGATCGATATCCAATATACCACATTGATGTTATGCATCTTGATGAGCAAATCGTTATCTTTTGGTAGAAGCCCTTGATGTCAGTCCTGAGAGGTCTGTATAGGGATGGGATAGTGATTTGGTTTGATCTTTTGCGATTGGGTTGTATGTTGGAATGTAGTGTAATGCCTATAACTTCGCAATGAGCTGTGTCAGTGTTTATTAATTTTACGGAAAATATGTGTTTATAATAAATTATGATTCCTCCACCTTTATCATTTTTTCTTAGTTTTGTAAATCTAGATATAACCTGTGATTGCGTAAAGATCAATTATTCTTCGTTAATATTGACTTCCGTTGAAGCTATTACATCGAAGGAGAACAAATTAATGGATTATGTAAATTCATTCCAGTATTTTTGTAAAGATCTTATGTTAAGGTGTATTATGGATAAGGTATTAGGAGTTTTAACATATTTTATATTTCGGGTAGCAGATATCCACGATAATTAATAATTTTTAAAGTAGTGTGAACAATTTAATTCGTCCCTTTACTCTACAAACGTTTGTAATAATATAATTTCAAAATTCTTAATTTAATTTAGGAAATCAGGCTTCAGTTTATTTTTCCCGTTACTATTATATGACACTATTTTTAAATTATCAGTCTCAACACTTACACTTAGCCTAAAGCCGAGCTGTAGACTGAATGGTGGTGGGGGTGATGTGCTGATATCCACTAGTCTGTCATCTTCCTTAAAATGCCGCAGGGGTGCCTAGAAGGGAGTTTATGGCGCAGGTTGTGCCAACGAAATTAATGAGGGGGGGTACTTTTTGAGGGGGGTACATTTCGACGGGGTTATGAATTTTCAGAATGAAAAGTTTCAAATCAAAAGACAAATGGAATCATGGAACAGCCACAGGATGTATAACGGTATATAATCTACTAATATGCAAAATTCAGCAATAAAGCGCAACAATAACCACTAGCCTAGTTCTGTTCTCAAAGGGCAGGCCTCCTCATATGCCTCCAAAATAGCAGTTTCGAGGAGGCTAGCCTCTTTGTCTATATAATTTCTTGTATAAAGCCTATCTGCCCCATGGGTTATGAGGCTTACCAATCACTCCCTGTAAAGTTTCCAATCAGTATTTCTTGAATTTCTTTTCAGCGGAGGGACGGACTGGACTGACTCAATCTCAAATGTTATCATCCTGTGGTGAGACAATGTAATGTCTGAGGGGATGACCTTGTCTTTAAAAAGGCTTTTAATTCGGCTTGAAGTGAATGTGACATCTAAGACCTCACTTCTGATATTTGTCATAAAGGTGGCTTCACTACCTTTGTTTAAGTTCTCCAAGTCTGTTGAGGCTGTATATTCTAACAAGGTTTCACCTCGCTCATTAGTGTCTGTACTACCCCACATATGGTGATGGGCATTTATATCCCCACCTATTAGGAGTGGAAGGTCCTCTTTTTTTGCAAAATTAAAGAGTATCAGCTTATTGATATATAGGGTCTAAATTATGAGGAATGTAAATAGATCCAATCATCATTTTAATCTTATTAGTGCCTACCTTGATAGTCAGGTTGAAGGCCACAGTATCTCTTGAATTCACCTGAGGGAGTGGCGGTATGTGCAAATCCTTGGAGGTCCATATGCATACCCTAGGTTTGTCTTTAATTAGGGGAGGTCGGATAATTCTTCCTCCTGTTCCCCTAAGCCTTTAACCATTCCTCTAAAACAATAAGGTTCTGGTATTAGAACGAGGGTGGATTTCATGCCCGTGAGAAGCTTAGTTAATTCGGCTGTAGCCAATTTATTATGCTGCATATTAATTCCTCTTACCTTAATCACATTGGACTCCATTTTTGATAAGGGGAGGTAGGAAGTGCAGGAGCCTAATGGCGCCTGCTTCTCCTGTGGGGGGTTGCTGGGTCTTTAGGCAGTTTGTTGCGCCCTCCAAACTGTTAAGCTGACTAGCTCATAGTTTAATAGTTATACACTCATGAGCTTCAAACAACGCCATTGAGCTGGGCACCTTAAACACCGCTCTCAGGTGTCCTGGGTCGCCCTCAGTTCCTAAGAACTGTCATCTCGAGATGTCGACTAGGTCCTCATTCTGGTTATCCAGGATTCTTGTTAGCCTGGCGGGATCGATTGCCTCAGCTCCCAGCCCAATAAAATTCTACCGGACCAGGGAGCCTTGGTGGACCGCTTCATCACAAACCTTCGGTCAGTGGGAGTGACCCAATCCAGTAGAAAATCCCTATTCTCTTTGTTGGTGCAGATGAGGAGGAACCAACCCGATTCCACCTGATAGCCAGAGAATTTAAAGGCCAGAGGTCTCCTTCTGGGGTGTGGCTCATTCTTGGAGGACCAGCCTATTCTCCCCCCTGCCGTATTGGCTCTAAGGGAGTTCTGGGGACGTTCCTCTCTTTTCTAACTAACAGAGAACGACCCATGGTACTCCCTGGTGAATGACGCTGCCTATGGGTAGCTGGATCAGAGATAGGCATTTGATGCCCCTCTCTAATGGCCACTCGTTCGGCTTGCATTTTGATTGCCTCTGCTCGCCTTTTCTTTTTCGAGCAGAGCTTCTTCTTTAATATGGCCTTTTTATTTTCTCGGCCTCTTCTTTTAAAACACTTTCTGGAGAGGACTGACTTTGCGTCCATCCCTGTTCTGTCTCGGTCGACATAGTTGACCTAAGTAGAGTGGACTCTCTGTCAGAGTCCACCCTTTGGCTTAAAGGACAAGATGGGAGATGATATGGCCGTACCACCCTGTCTTGTCTGGGTTTAACTTCCTGCAAGCTCCCTCCTTCCGTGTCTAGTGAATCTTGTGCAGTCTGGGAGGACTGCCCCGCCTCTAATTCCATTGCAGCTGGCACTTCAGGCTGCTCATCTTCTTTTGTTTCCATTAGTAGAATTTTTTTTAAATTGTGTCTTGTGTTAAATGTATGGTGTAAGTGTGGGTATGCTGCCTTCCTTACCTCAACCCTCCATTCTGGAAGAACATGTCGCTTGAGAGTAGAGTCCAGTGGCCTCGGAGGAGCAACTCCGGTCCGTGCATAAGGGTCCCATCCAGTCACCAACTGGCACTAATACAACGTCCGAACTTTTACACTGGGCTGATGAAGCAGCAACTCCTTCCTGGTTAGGAGGTGCGGGCTCCTGTACTATGCCAGCAGCCAAGGTGTGCCATCCCTCGTTTCTCTCTGTACCCTCTGAAACAACTCCCATGGACAGGCCCAACTATTCAGGAAGGGAAGGAGTACAGAGCAACAGAAGTGACCTTTGTGAGTTATGTTCTGTGATTGGGTGCGGTAGTGACCAGTACTCCTCCAGTTGCTAAGCTGTAGAGGCACAAGGTTCAGGGGAGGAGGAAATCCCCTGTAGCAGTCTGACCTTTATCACCATTCATAATCACTTCTAATTTTCTTTATGACTTTGTCAATCGATAATACACCTCAATCCATTAGGAATTTATCCATTACTCCCATTTTTTTCAATGATTAAATACTAAAAGTCCCATACTAATATTGATAAAGATTTTTTATGTTAATTATATTTTTCCTCAAGACGTCAGATTTTACTATAGTATTAAGAATAAATGATTGTTTCAGATTTTAGGAGGTTGCTAATTTTTTAAGTCTCTTTTGCTGCATAAAATATTTTAAGGACAACTGTAGAAGTACAGTAAATGTATCAGTTTAATTTTAATCAACATTATATTTTTTTATATTTTTATTATGTTTTTGTAGATTCTTGAAAGGTGTTCAGCTTGGAGAAAAGATTCTTATTGAAGCTAAAACAAATAAATGTGGAAAAACATTAGCATTTTTGGATGTTAATATTATTCATGAAGCAACTGGTGATCTTGTAGCAAAAGGTTCACACACTAAATTTATTAAAAATTGAGAATTATATATTATTGAATAAAGTAGACTAAACAATAGCACCTTGGTTACTTTAATTTATTCTTTGTGTAAATAAAAGCTAATTGATTTGTTTTTAAACATGGAAAAATAAAAATAAAATTAGTTTGCAAATGATGATCTGAATTATTCCAAAGGATCTCATTGTTTAGAGTTCAAAGAAAATGGTAATCCCCATTAGTTTTTCAAGATAGGTCAATTCTTTTTAGTCTGCCAACTATTATAATGAATTAGAATCTCTTTTATATTTGATAATTACTTGTATTAAAATAATTACAAAATACCTAGTCCTGTCATAAATATTGCTACAAGGAAATATATACAGATTTCAACAGAAAAAATAATTTTTTCAAAAAATTTATTAGAAAATAAAGTGTATATCTATAGAGAGTAAAACAAAAAAAAAAAATTACTCAAAATTTCCTCCCTTTGCCTTGACACAGGCATTTAATCTCCATGTTCAGTCATCAATAGCAGCACGCAGCATTTTTTGAGGAACTTCTCACTGCATTTGCCTTTCTCACAGTGCGGGGACGGCCCAGTCAAGGTCTGTCACAACAAATACGGTCTCATTATATCTATTTAAAGTGGGATACACGAACATACGGCTGATACCCAAAGGTTTCAAAGTGTTGAAAATCTCTGACCTACATTTTCCAACTTTGTGTAAGGCGATCAAAGCTATTCGGTTTTCTTTATCACCCCACTCCATGTTAACTGAGCAAAAGAAACATACAAACTAATTGGGGTCATTATCCTGACAAGTAAAGATAACAACCTGACAGAGGTAAGGATTATCTAAATAATACCCAAGGATGTAAACAAAGTTCAAGTTTTGTAACAGCATTTAGGGCAGAACTAGGTATTCTCTAAAAATGTTTGAGAAGTGATCAAATAAAGGATGTTAAGGCTTTATAGTCATTTAAATCAGATGGAGGCTGTTTGAATTTTGACTTTCGTGAAGGATTGACTGAAGGTAAAATAAAAAAGGACAAACGTTTTATTATATGGATAGATAAAGTGTCAGAAAGCATTGCTGAGATAGAATTAATGGAAGTGGAAGAAATTGACTGGCACGAATGGAGAAAAAGAGTAAGGTATGACTGGTTAAGTTTTGTTCATAGTGAAGACATTCTATTTACTAATAACATTCTAAATTTGTATGGTGAAGATGATATGTACCTTTTATTTTGTAATTTCTGTATGGTAAAGGAGAACATTTTCTTTTATTTAACATTGTATTATACTTCTTATTTTTAAATATAATGCTTGTTAACAATTTTTATTTTTTGTTATTTCAACTTGATAATAAAATTATAACTATGAAATAGTATTTCATTCAAAAAAAAAAAAAAAAGGTGCCGGTATTTATTTATTTTAATTTTTCATTTCTGATTTTATATATAACAAGATTGTGTTTCCTTTTATGGAGAGCACATTAAAATATGATTTATAAATTCCCATCCTCAATGAATGCCTCAATAGAAGGCAAAAGTTCATGTTGAAGGCCAAAAAGCAGATGGAGAATTAGAATCAACATAGATGCAGCAGAACTGTGTGCAGATAACTATGAAGAAATAGCCCAAGACAGGCAGAGATGGAGTAATCTTGTTAAACAACAAAAGATCTACAAGGTCTGTAATGCCAACACAAAAAAATATATTATATTGGAATTGTTTGTATCAATACATATTTAAAATATGAGAAAAATAAAAGCTCAACTTTTGCTTATCACCATATTTTCACAAGAAATTAAGTTTAAAAAAATTAAAGGGGGATGTATTGGAGAGGTGTCTGGCGAATTCCTCAGCTTTATCTTCATCAGACGTTGCCCAGGAGTCATCACATCGACGGAGGGAGTGAGAAATATGATGAGATTTTAGGATTTTTTTGGTGGTTGTCCAGAGCGAATTGTCATGAATAGACAGGGAAGAAGTAAGGTAAGAATTAAAGGATTGGGATCTGAATGATGATAATTCTTGCTTTAATAGTTTACAATAATAATTGTAGGAGCGGCGATCGATGGGATGTTTGGTACGTTGCCATAATAATCTTGGGTTTGGTGTGGATTAGGTCTATGAGGTGTCGTGGTATAGTATTTTTCTTAGGGATTCTTGAGGAATGACTTGGAGAGAAAGCTGTCCATACTGCTTGTTGAATGGTGGTGGTAAAGAAATGTACAGAATTGTCAAGGTCTTCTGGGGTTTTCAAGGATATTCTGAGTTCAATTTTACTGGAAAGGATTTGATGAATTATTTTCCAATTAACTGGGCCTCTGATGAAGGATGGTGGACAGGGTTTAGGAATAGGACTTAGAGATAATTGGAGTATTAATGAACCAATGATCTAAGTAAAGTTCATCAAGTCGAGTAAGATAGTAAGAGAATAATTGAGGGGACCTAAACCATTATGGACAAAAAAATCGAGAATATCAGGATTGCCGTTAGGATCAGTTGGCCAGTTGGTAGGTGAGTTGGGAGGAAGGAAGCTGGCACTTTGGGAATTAAGTGCAGACAGCAATAATATCACGAGAATTCATTCGTGTGTTTAAGTTTGCATCCAGGATGAAGTAGTGTCCTAAGGAGTTAAGGAGAGAACTGAACTGGATATTGGATATAGATTTGTTAGGATGGCAATATGCTGATGCTAGGTTGACGGGAAAGGAAAAGGTTTTGATTACAATAGAGGTGGATTGTAGGTAATGGGAGCACGTGATGGGAGAGGGATTGGTGTACAATAACAGCAGTGCGGGCACCTGCTCTACCGTCAGGATGGTCAGTATGATATGCCAAATATTGCGGTATTTTGAAGAGTTGCTTAGTGTTTAGTCGAGTTCTAGTAATTAGTGCCACATCAATGTTCTTGTCATGTAATAAAGGAGCATTCCAAAGGAGAATGGATCAGGATTCGGTGGAAGTCATTTAAGGATTTTTTAAAGGAGAGATGAATTAAGATACGAGATTTGTAAGTAGTGATATGAGTGGGGCAACAAGGAATTTGAAGTCGGTTTGAAAAGATGACAACAAACTGGTGATATCTGTGACATTTGAAGGAGGAGGAATTTGATGTTGGTGGGGATGTTTATTAGGTATATTAGAATGGATAGGATCTTGAGGATGGAGTTGAGGTTATTAGTGCGGCAGGGCTATACAATTATCGGTTTGTTTCTTGCCTCCAAGTAGATAGGAGAATGAAACATTATAGTTCACTATTCTAACAGGTTCTCTTCTTGCCCTGGTTTTCTCGCCTGGAATCCAGGTCTCTTGGTATCTGATTTTGAGGTTCTTGTAGATTTGGCAACTTTTATAGTTCGCCGGATGTCCCTCCGAGAATAGGGCTCAAACTGCAGGATCTCGTATCGGTTTGGTGCACTCTGTTGATTTATGTTGTTCACCGCATTTTACGCAACACGATAAGTGATGGCAATAAGTCTTCGTGTGGTCGTACGCCTGACAATTGTGGCACTGCACGATTTTTCTCTTTTGATAGGGCTTCTCAATTTTCACGCTTGTGTAGAATATTCTGGTGGTATATATTTTTTCGATACCTGATGATGGCTCCAGGTCAACGAGAAACAAAGGTAGTGGGACTTTATTTCTCAACTCAGGCTACTCCTTATTCTCCTTCAAAACTTTGGTTACCTGACGTACTATGAAACCAAGCGTCTTTAGTTCCTCTTCTATCACTTCAGATGGGGTTGAGGAGTGCAAATTTCTTATTAAAACTCGTAATGCTCTATTTTGCCTTAGTTGGTACGTGTGAAAATTCGCCTTCATTTCTAATAAACATTTCACTATTTTTCGATACTCCTCAGTAGTAAAAGAAAATGCCCAATTTTGAAATCGTTGAAATGTGCTGCAACAAAAATCACTGGACTAGCCGTTTTGCCGCTAGAGCTCTCCAAAAACATTCACATACCCAGTATTCCTTACATGAATAATGAATATAGGGCAAGTAATTAAAAAATAGATACAAACGAACAAAATGCATTTGTTTAGTGAGTGTTTCATAATACATAGCCATCAGTAAAATTATGCATAACATTATTATAATTGTCGAGAACGATGAATCGCTACCGTGATAAAGTGGACTGTCAATCATCTGAAACAAACAGGAGAGGCTATTTTATGAATTTATTGATAGACGAGGTGAGTAATCTGCTGAAGTTGAAGATACTGTTGTACATACCTTCGTTTTTCAAAAAACTGTTTTTTTCAAACCTCAGTGAATGATTATTTTATTTTTTTGTTTTCACGAAACGCCCTTTTAAGACCACGCAAAGATCATTACTTTACCTTTCTCATTTTCGCTTTTCCCTTCTCCCAGTATCTCTGTCAGTCTCAGTATTTCTGCTTGCCTTTGCTTCATCTCTTTCGACCACTATTTTCCTCTAGATCCTTGATTTCTTTGATTTTTTTTTTTTTTTTTTTACGTATTGCTCCCTATCCAGTCAGTCTTTAGCTGTTATTTTCATTTTTTCTATTTCCTCTCTCATTTGTTTTACATATCCTCTTATGCTCTTGTATTCGCGGAATGTGTCAGGCTTTCTTGTTTAATACCCCTTGGTCCATTCTTATCATGTGCCCGTAGAATCTTAGTCTTCTCATTCTTATTTCGGTTTCTAGGTCTTTTATCTCCCTGTAGATTTCTTTTTTATTGGGTCTTAACCAAGTGAAAAATTATTATTTTTAATCGTATCAAGAAATATCAAAGGTTGGTTTAAATTTTTATTGATAAATCAGAGGAATTTTTAGATTAAAAATCAAATATAATCATTATTACATAATTTTGTGGACAAATAATTATCGATTTCAAACACTGACCATTTATTTTATGAAATATGTCAAGATCAAGTTACATATTATATTATTAATTATTTACACTGGTAAATCTCGGAACAAGTTATATCATATAAATTGTATAATGTAATAAATTAAAGGATTGAAATCGCTCTGCCATTTGTATAAGGAAAATTGCCACAATAAATTCGTGGAGCGATCAAATTTTTTTTTTCTATATTGGAAATTTCACAGATATAGAAACAGTTAGTCTTGGAAAAAAAACACTATATTTATGAAAAATGTACTTTTGTATGTATAAATGGTATAATGTAAAAATTGTTAAACAGTTAAGGATCATAGCAAGGGCGATTTTCGCGTCATCGATAAATTTCACCGGATATGAAAGTATGGCCTCTTTCGGGTGCGCTCTAGCAGCGAAGCGGTTAGTCTAAAAAAAAAACGTTAGAAATGTAGGCAATTTTGTCTACTTTAATAGTGTGTAGAGTGGATTTGTCAAAACCAAAAAAGCTTCCTTTTTGAGATGTAGGCTGAAAACTGAAAAAAGTGCCAAAGTTTGGTCAAAAAGTGTCCAAAAAACAAAGATCCGAGCAAAATTTTTCCAGCAAACTTCAAATTCGTGTTCAGCGACCCAAGAAACATAAAGGGTGAGAAAATTTTGTTTCTGAGCCCCTATTTTTTTGCTAATATGCCTAGCCCATGAGTTTTTTCGCAAACATTATTCAGTATAATATTAAAGTACTTTAAAATCTCTATAAAAGTGATTCTATACATTTTTTTGACCAAATAATGTTTTTCTGAAAGTGCGGTATCTTTTTGTGCAGTTGAGAGGTAATGAAAAACATTGTGAAGAATCCTTGATTTTATGAAAAATCGAACTTACTGTAGTTTAACTGCTAAATGGTTTTAAAGTAGACCAGATTCACTTGTATTTAATGTATATTTAATCTAGTTTACTATGAAGTAATTGTTTGTAACCTAAATTAAACATTTATTTAGTTATTGCTTTTTATTCAGCATAAAACGTGGTAGGCTTCAAAATTACAAAATTTAAGTTTTCTGGGTCTCTGTATGTGACAGGCCGTGGTTTATGGTGTCTTTTTATACGTTTTAATCTCGTTTATCACATATTATCAATTATATTAAATTAATGTCAATCTAAACTTTATATTATTATTATGAAATTGGCATCGAATCCCATTGATTGATATCGAATACAATTCTGTTGTCAATGACTTTTTGGAATAATTAAATGAAAGAAATTTTTAATAATAATTTGAAGGATCGAAAATGTTAAAAAAAGTAATTAAACTTCAAAAAGGTATGGTTTTTTGTTGAATAGGAAGTGATAACTAAAAACCAATTTAATTTAAGTAATTAACGATTGGTTCACTGTAAACTAGACAAAATTTACTTTAAATAAAATAGAGTTCACTATTGTTAAAACAATTTAAAAAGGACTTTTGTGCGGCTATACTCAGCTAAGGAGTGGGGGAAGATGGGTAGTGGTGGGGGAAGCTCCCGGTAC